GTGAGGACGAGCAAGGGACTGATGGATGAACGATGAGCAAATGAGAATGGAGGCTGCAGAGGCACAGACCTAGCACGACGCGTGCTTAATGAGATGTGATGAAGAAGCAAGTCATGAAAGAATGAAAGGTCGAGTTAATGAACGAAAGATGAAAATGAACTACAAACTAAATGAATTGTGATAAAAGACTTAGCGTCTCGATGTCGATGTCCTGAGTCCTGGGGCTCGATGGCAGCGGCGAAATCTCCTGCTGACGGTGCAGACTGCAAGCGATAAAAAAAAACACTAAGCGTGAAGATGCTTCCAATTCGGCAGGCCAAGCAAGAGAGAGCGTGCAGGCTAAAGAATAACTGCCAAGTCCTGAAGTCCCGCCCCTCCCACCACCGCGCCGACGGGACATGAGCCAATCAGCGACGGAGGCGGGCGCGCGCAAGGCTCCAGGGGAAAATGAGGTGCGTGCGATTCTAGAATTCGGACCAAAAACGGAATTCGCTCAATTCCGTCTCTCGACGGAACAGTTGTTGATGGCTTAATGAAATGTAAGGTTACTACCGTGCCTACATTTTTATTTTTTTTTATATGTTGATCGTATTAGTTAAACATTCACAGTCACTATAGTACATCAGTTATGTAAATATTTTAAATTGGTATCCATCAACAAATTATAGATTTTTTTTTAATGGAGAAAATTTTATGTAATCTCTCAGGAAACTAGTCATAAATGTAGATTATTGCTTATATGAACTATATTATACCTAATAGATTCCTGCAAGATTTTGAGAGTATTTTAGTTGTTTTAAATGGGGAAGCCATTACACGACGGATGGAAGTTGGGGTTTCGTCCTATAAGGAATAACTCAAATGTCATTGAAGCTGCTGAATGCAACATCTGTCAGAAGCGATTGAAAAAATTTAGCAAAGAAAGATTGTTTGGTCACAGGTAATAATTTTATTTTCCAACCATAATCCTGTCTAGTCAATTTTTCTTTTAATTGTCATGAGAACAATACAAATTCTAGAAATAAGTGTGATCAATATACTGAAAATGTTAACACGATGGATTCAAGTGAAGTTGAGGAGACAGAAAGACCTCGTCAACCATCTTCTGATGGTCAAGTAAGACCATCTGTTCCTTTAGCAGAGGTGTTCGACAATATGATTCCTGATTCTCCTGTGCAAGAAGCTTCTGTAAATAATCGAACTCAGGTAGCAGCAAGGGCTGCAGGCACTGCTGTAAGTACGCACTCGAACACAGCACTCTTCCTATTGAACAACGATAAATTAGTACATTGCCATTCATATTTTTTATGTTCAGCCGTTTTTCTTTAGTGTTTATTATTCATAGTTGAAAAAATCATTTAAAACTCAATTACGTTTCTTGCCTTTTTTTTCAGAGGCGATCAGTGGAATCCATAGACACATCTAAAAATTGCTTGAGAAAAGCAGAGAAAGATCGAGCTCTGCTAAAACTATCATTGCTAGCAAATCTTTCCTTTGTTTTTTTCTCGCAACCATGTTTTGAGGAAATGCTTCTTACTTTTGACAACTCTTACCCAGTGCCTTCTGAGGAAGACTTCAGAACGATGATTCTTCACCAAGTTTTTAATGAAATGTATGGTCAAAGAAAAAAACTGTCTACCTCAATAATCATAGGTGTACAAACGATACTGAATGGGTTGTCTTACTTGGTAGTAAGTTTCATTATAAAACAAAATGAATATTTCTTTCTGGATGTTAAGGAGTGTGCTTCAGATGGTACTGAAACCACATCGTTGAACAAGTTTGTCTATTGTAGTATAAAAATTGCCAGTGACATTTATTCATCAACAATAAAGTATGTCTTACTTGAAAGTTCCTTGGATTTTCTCGACCGCATTGTCATTGATAATCAAGAGTACCGAATTATTCGTACTGTTTCTGTGATTATATCTGATTGTCTTTAGCGTATTGACACTTCAGTACTTGGTCATGAAGAAATTCATGAGCGTTTAGAAGATATAAAGAATAAGTGCAACACTGGTTTTTATAGTTTATCCGAAAGCACAGAAGATATTTTATCTCTTGTGGAACAGGGTTTATCCCATAGTGTAAGTGTGTGTAAAACTAGTCTTTCATTATTTCTCAATGCTGTTGCCCTTTCAGCTAATTTTTTTAATCACAACTTTATGGGTCGTAAGTTTGTTTGTAAACAGGAGCTCCACCAAAAAATGAGCGCCTATCTTTATAAAGCATTACATGTAAGTCCTGAGGATACTGATGATGATCCTCATGAGAGCTGGTCCAACTACGAAGAAAAAAAAGATATTTTTGAACTTCTTTTTTCTGACTCTGAAGACTATGATATATTTCAGTTTTGGTACGCTGCAAAAAAAGATGGTAAAAATACCAAGCAGTTAGCTACTTTTGCTATTGAACTTCTTCGTCTCCCATCTACCATACGACCTATTTCAGTAGATTCAATGAGGAAAATGTTATGTTTTGAATGTTCAACTGACAACCATTTAATTAAATCAGTCTTGGGTTATTTTTTACTTAATGATCATAAATAAATAATTCATACTTTTAGTTCTCTACAAATGACTAGTCACACAATTTTCACAGAAATTTAATCAGTGGTCAATCAGTATTAATCATGTGAAAATTACGAAGCTATAAAACTTAGTTTATGTTAGATTAGATTAGTCATTTTGTTGTATTTATTTTAGTATTTTCTCAGTTAACTAAGTATACATGTTGTCTACAAATAATAAATAATTTTTGTACGTTCGTTAAGAAATTTTATAAGTATAATACACGTGATAAATCCTTCACGTGATATTTCCTTCCGATTAATATAGGAAAGAAAAAATGTGTTCCTGGTATCGTAATTTTAAATACGGTAAAAACGACTGATTAGTTAAAAAATGCTATTAAATATTTGCAATCACAAAAAAAATTTGTAAATGTTAAGTGAATGTTAACACAGAAAATCTTATGTAAATGTTTTCTTTGTGCATTGAATAAATCATTGTATGAAATCAATTTTGAAGTTCAGTTTCCTTTTATCCATTTTGGTAGACCATTTCTTGCTCACTCTTAATGTAATAAAGTTGAAGAAATATCTTAACGAAATTCCAAAATACTTTTTTTCGATTCTGAGCGTAATTAATGGTTAAACAACACGTAAGTGACATTATAATAGATGTAAGATGTAAAATAAGAACAAAATAATTGTTATAAACATATTTATGTGCATTATTAACGTTTGCAATGGCTCCGAATTAGCTTTTATGTTACTAACATCCATAAGCCAGTAAAATTAAAAATAAAAGCCATTTTAGCACTTGACTCAGATCAACATATACAAGAAAATCATTGTTTGCGGCGAAAAACATAACCTCAATCGTATACAGGCCCCGACAGTGTAAAGAATATGTAAAATTGCACTTTTCAGCATATAACCATCGATTAAACTTACGTGCTTCTAATTATTATTTATTCATTCAAAGATATAATAAGTATGCATCGAATAATGCAGTATCAAACTCCAAAAACGTAACCTAACCTTACAAATAACGTAACGGCTTCAAAAACATATATAAATATTTGAACGATTCCAACAACTTATAGCGCTAATCGATTGATTAACCACTTGTATATATGCCAAATCAGTTTTTACTTTAAGGAGTTATGAAAATACATCATTATGCCGAGTATCAACTTCCGTAAACCCAAACCCCAATTACAACAGACATTTCAATTCGCAAAAATGCGATTAATCTTGAAACTCAGGGAGCTTGTAGCACTAATCGATGGATTAGCCACTCCGGTATAGTCTGCATGAATTTCGACTTTAAGGTATGATAATAATATATCATATGGCTGAGTATTAGCGTCTGAAAACCTAATATTAATTTATAGCAGTCCTGTAAATTGGAAATGAAGTTGCGATTGAGCACGAAAATCAGTGTACTTATGCCAACTAATCAATTCATTAGCCACTTGTATATGTATCGGGTGAATTTTTACTTTGAGGAGGTTTTATAGCTCCCCGTTTTAATTTTGAAAGTAAACAGATTTAGTTAAAATTATAAAAGAGCACCTTTGAAGTATCCCTCTTTCGATTGCTATTAAAAAACAGAGGGGTAAACGTCAAAAATTTCGTTCAATCGTCTTTTGAAAATCTCACTTTAAACATGGGTGCAATACAAAATAGGCATAACCTACACACAAATTTAGCTATCACATCGAAAACACTTAAAGGGATCTTAATAAAAAACTAAGAGCTTTTAGATTTTGTCTCTTATAGTCTTATGGTATCAACAAACAGAAAAGTTAACGTAAAAAATTAAGATAACCGTGAAGTTATCGTTGTGATGTTTTTGGTGAGAGCCGAAAACTGTCATCACTCCATCATACTCGCACTATTTGCACACTGCTCGGTGACGTATCATTCTTAAAGAGAAACCCAATGATTTTTTGATTTTTCCGCAAACATTTTCCATTTATTATTATTATTTTTTTTTTGCTCTTACCTTACTTTAATAGATATGGAGCGTGAATACTTTATAACAAAGTTGATTATTAAAATTTGTAAATGTAGGGTACCCTCAATGGGACCCGTAAAATAATATGGATCTACGCTTGGAACCTCCTTAAAATATGACAATTACACATCATCTGGCCGAGTATCAGTATCCAGAAACCTAACCTCAATTAATAGCAGTACTTAAATTAGAAAAAAATTGTGATGAACCATAAAAATCGGTGTACTTATACAACTTATTAATCGATTAGCTACTTGTATATACTTTTAATGAATTTTTACGTTACGGTATGATAGTACCCTGGTAGCACATCGTTAGTTTTGAAAAGCAGACCTATGCACTTCTTACGCAATTGTTACGTAATTGCGTGAAAATCGCGTAAGAAGTGCATGGGTCTGCTTCTCAAAACTTACGATGAGCTATCAGGGTAATCCTCCATCTGGTGAAGTATATACGAGGGTCTAATCTAATAATTACGGCTATAAGTTTGCATACTTTTAAAATTTATAATTTTTTAAAATTCAATTACCTGCTATAAATTAAGATTAGGTTTCAGGAAGCTGATACTTGGCCAGATGATGCATTGTTATCATACCTTATTAACGTAAATATTTACTCGAAGCACATACGAGTGGCTAATCAAATGATAAATGGTAAAAGTACACTGATTTTTATGGTTGATCGCAATTTTTTTCAAATTTAAATGCCTGCTATAAACTAAGGTAAGGTTTCTGGATGATGAAACTTGGCCANTTGTAGTATAAAAATTGCCAGTGACATTTATTCATCAACAATAAAGTATGTCTTACTTGAAAGTTCCTTGGATTTTCTCGACCGCATTGTCATTGATAATCAAGAGTACCGAATTATTCGTACTGTTTCTGTGATTATATCTGATTGTCTTCAGCGTATTGACACTTCAGTACTTGGTCATGAAGAAATTCATGAGCGTTTAGAAGATATAAAGAATAAGTGCAACACTGGTTTTTATAGTTTATCCGAAAGCACAGAAGATATTTTATCTCTTGTGGAAGTCTTTCATTATTTCTCAATGCTGTTGCCCTTTCAGCTAATTTTTTTAATCACAACTTTATGGGTCGTAAGTTTGTTTGTAAACAGGAGCTCCACCAAAAAATGAGCGCCTATCTTTATAAAGCATTACATCTGTAGATTTTTATGTAATTGTCTGTAGGCTGGTGTCTGCATATTTTCTTAATTCTATCAGTGTGTGAAATAATGAGTGCCACGATAAGCCTTGCAACGTCTGGCGAAAAGTTGGAAAGCGTACACATTCAGTAAATCTACAAACTTTTTCAAAACATGAACATTGTGATGAAGAGCAGTATGTTTAAGTAGTGGGAGAGAGATCCATAACAAATAAATTAAAGTATTAAATTATTTTACTCAAGTAATTGTAATATAAATAAAAACAAAAATTTTTAGAATTAATTATCTAATAATCTCAGCCTACGTCTATGTTTAATTATGTCAATCTATAGGTTGTAATACTATCTTTTTATCAAATGTTCGTTGCAACGTTTATAAATTACACCGTCATCACGCTACTCTTCATCCAAACGTCGAACTTTATGAAATTTTTATTATTCGATGCATATCGATTATATGCAAGAGTTCCGATGTTTTAATGTTTAAAAAATCATGCGCATCTAATAACTTATAACACGGTACAGTGGTTAACTCATAGTCGAAGTCCCAATTTTCAACAGGTTTTTGAAGTTTCCATATGATGCTTGACTTATCAAAGTAACCCAACACTCTTACGTATTCAAACGACATTTCAAGTAAATCATACTTAAACAGCTTTTTATGCATTTTACGATATACTCTGACTTCTCCGTAAAAGGGAGTGTCATGCTAAACCTCCTAAAGAAGATTTGTGGCGCGGATAGTACTTGCATGCTGGTACACGACAATAGTACACATGGCAATCACAATTTCCGTCATCACAGACTTTTTTGATTGCACGTACTGTATCTATAACAAAAATTATTTGTTTTTTTTTTATTTATTTTTTCTTATAACATAATACGATAAGGTTTTTGAGATAAACTGCCGCTATTTTAAAACTATCATACACATTTTTTTTTCATTACATAGTTACAATGAATGGAAATTTATTTTAAACGAATTTTCTTAATTCAGTTCAATAACCTTAACGTTGCATACATTGTAAAATCCTCCAGTAGCTGTTCGCAAACGATACGCATGAAATTTAGGACCTTCTGAAACAAAGCTCTCTATATACAATCCTTCACTGTACATTTCTAATTCATTAGTTAACTGTCCTAATAGCAAACCTGTGGGTGGTTGACAGGGGTGTTAATGGACTTGACCGATGGACTGAACAGAGCGAATGGACGGCCACTAGCGTGTGAAATGGCCACGACGAAAGCTAGCTGTGTGAG